GGGCTGACAAGACGGCCAAGGAGGCGGTGCTCTTGCATCCCATGCCGTCGGCTGCCGAGCTCGAGGGCCTTGATCGTGAGGTTACCATTGCCAGAGCCGTCGGACGACTAGGGGCCAAGTTGCTGTCTCTCTGGCCCCGCCTGGTGTTGGTCCCCAATGTCCAGCGTGTTCCTCCTCCCCCTGTGGAGCGTCAGCAGAGGGAGAAAAATAGTGCCCACCAGTGGAGCTGGGTGGGTACCTATTGGCAGTGTGCTGAGTGTTTGCGAGGCAAGCGTGGCACGCCCTCGACCCAGCCTCCTGCAGGGAAGTGCGACGCTGTACTCAAAATTTCACCTGCCAGGCTACGTGCGCTCGGACACGCGTGCGTTTTGCTCGATTGCTCGGACGAGCCTTTTCATTTGTATGTGTCACAAGTGTGGGTACATGACGTCGGGGGGCCATTTGAGGAACCTTGACAAAAAGTGTGAGCCAGACAAAGTGGCCTCACACAGCAACCCGTGGAATAAGTTGATGAAGGGGCTCCATCCAAAAAAGGGTGGGGTCTCTGTTGATTTAAGAGCACGTTTTGCCATCTTTAATGTTGTGTTCGTACCTTCTTTCTTGCACGGCCCGATGCGTCTGGCCCTTTTTGGCAGGCATCCGTGCTATACCCCACATCTGGGGCGAGATCATCAGCCGTCCTGGCGCTTGCTGCACCAGGGGCTGGAGGCCTCGTCGTCCTTGTGTGGGTGGTCGATATTTTTGTTGTCTCTTTGCCGTTGTATCCTGTATTGCTCGGCTGTACATCTGGGGCGAGGATTTGTCGTCCAGGCGCTTCAGCACCTGGGGCAGCCTCGCCGTCCTTGTGTTAGCCCCTTTTTCGATTGGTTCGTACGTATCTGCACGTGCGTCAGGCACCCCACCTCTGGGGGAAGTGTGCGCATTGGTGATGGTTTTCTTGAGGGGAGCACGGGGGTACATCTATCCCGACTGTCGCTCCCACGGCGATTGCTGAGGCCTGGTGAGTTGTCCCTGGCCCCATCGCCTGGCCCTCCTCTCGGTTCGTGTGCGTGCACGCGTACGTTTCGTGCAGTGGGGTCCACTGTTTTGTTTCGGGGGCTATCGCCCCGTGGTCATGGTTGGAGGTGTTGCTGTGGACAGGAGCTTGGCTCCCAGCCCCGGCACGCTCGCAGCCTTGGCTTGTGCGTTTTCCGCATGTCCTCTGGTACAGTCGAGGGCCTGTGGGCTCCGAGGCACATTTCACGGGCAGGATTTTGCTAGTGGCGTTGCTACCCGCCTAACTCTGGTGGGGTCCTTGTCGCGCGTCCTCCTGTGTCGAGGGCCTCCTTTTCTTGTTCCTCGTGTGGAGGACTGTGGCACGTTGCACTGCCGTGCCTTTGCTCGGCCCTCGTCCAGGTGTAGCAGGGTACCCTTGGTCCCTGTGTGCTCGTGAGGGGCCACTCAGTGGTGGGTCTCTGCTGTCTGGTCTCGGTTAGCGCCCAGGCACACCCACCTCTCTGTCGCAGACTATTCCGTACCGACTGCTCAGTGCGGTCGGGTACGGCTGTGGCTGATTTCCCTCAGGGCCTCGCCCACCCTGAGTGGTGTATGTGGGCTGCAGCATGGTCCCATGCAAAAAAAATCCTCCTCCTCCTCCTCCTCCTCCTCCTCCTCCTTTTCCTCCTCCTCCTCCTCCTCCTCCTCCTCCCCCTCCTCGCACTCCCCTCCCCGGGTCGCCTACGGCCCTAGGGGAACCCGTCCACGTGGACCCCCAGACGCCGGGACCCCTTGTGATTGTTTTAATTCATTGCTTTGCCGACGGGCGCGGGCCCTCGCACCCCCTCCGTCGCCCCCCCCCCCCCCTCCCAACCCCCCCACGGAGCAGATCTTATCTGTGTCTGGCGCCTGTTTCGAGCAGGTGGGGTGTCCCTCATAGGACGCATTGTTGCAAACAGTCGCGTTAAGCAGAGGTCGGGGGCCAGACCCCCCCCCACTCCGCCCCCCCCTTCGGCCCAGTGTCGAAATGCCGAGTAAGAAAACGCTCATACTCCCCGGGACAGGAGGTTTCTACAGTAGGGCGTCTTGTGATTGCCCCGGGGCCCGAAAACGGCCCCAGACGCCGAAGCCTGCCAAAGGCTTTCCTCGGCCTCTACGTAAGAGTTGACACTTCGTCGATGGAGTGACCCTCGGCCCGGGCCCGCAGGGGTCCCCCTGGCCCTGGCTTATACCCACGGATTTGCCCTTCCCCCCCCCCCGTAAGGGTGACTTTTAAGTCTATGTGACGTGATGTGTCTTCGGTGCATGCGTAGATCAGCGTTGTGTTTTCCATATACGTGTTGATGTAGTCGTATATGTAGATGCTCATGCAGACGTTAACGATGATGTTGGTGTAGTTGTTGTCCTCTCGGTTTCCCCATTGTCTCTTGTCCTCTTGGTTTTCCCATTGTCTATTGTCCTCTTCGTTTCCCCATTGTCTCTTGTCCTATTGGTTCCCCCATATTATCTTGTGGACTTTTGGTTCCCCTATTGTCTCTTTTCCTCTTGGTTCCCCTATTGTCTGGGGCCTGGGTGTGCGGGAGGGCCTCCCAGGAGTGCGATTGCCGAAACGTTATATATATATATATATAATAAAGTGGAAACGCGTCTTGGAGCCACGAAACCTGTGACACTACCAAACAAAACTGTGACACTACCAACAAAACAAAACTACACAGGTTTTCGGGATTCTGATGGTCTGGGGCCTGGGTGGGCGGGAGAGCCTCCCAGGAGTGCGATTGCCAAAACCTATTTTTAGAAAAACAATGGAAACGCGTCTTGGAGCCACGAAACCTGTGAGACTACCCCAAAAAAACAAAAAAACTTGTAACACTACCAAAAAACAAAAATCAAAGGAGGGCCGACTCCGGACTCCAGGAGGGCCCGCCAGGAGTGCGAGGTCAAAAAACATTTGATGTTTGTTTTTTTGGTAGTGTCACAAGTTTTTGTTTTGGATCGTGTCACAGGTTTCGTGGCCCTAAGATAAGGAAACCTGTGACTGTCATTGGAAAACAAATAAAATCAAATGTTTTCGGTTCCCGCCCACCCCGGCTCCGGACCCCAGGAGGGCCCGCCACGAGTGCGAGGTCCGAAAACCTTTGATTTTTGTTTTTTTGGTAGTGTCACAAGTTTTTTGTTTGTTTTGTTGTTGTTGTTTTTTGTTGTTGTTTTCTTTGGTAGTGTCACAGGTTTCGTGGCCCTAAGACAAGGAAACCTGTGATTGTCATTGGAAAATCAATAAAATCAAATTGAAAATCAATGGTCCTTGTGACTCTACCAAAAAACCAAAAGTTCTTGCGCGACGGGAAGGTCCTCCTCCTCCCTTTTCCCTCTCTCTCTCTCTCTCTCTTTGTCTTTCTGAAGAGGGAGCAGGGAGTGAAAGGAGGCATGGAGGAGGAGGGAGGCAGGGAGGAGGAGGGAGGAGGGAGGAGGAGGGAGATTGCAATTGAATGCGATTGCAGTGCGACGCAATGCGATTCCAATGCAATGCGACTGCAATGCAACTCAATGCGATTGAAATGCACGCGTCCTCTGAGATCTCGTTTCATGTTATCCGCTCTGCCCTGGGCGTACTCGATTCCCTGCATCCTCCCGCGCATGTATGCGAGCGCGCCCAGCTCGCGGGCCGCGTCCAACCCATGGGTTGGACACAGTCACCACGTGCCCAACCCATGGGCGGGAGAAAGAATATATGTTTCGCGTTGGCATCCGAGGGCGGGCTGGCTTCGGGCCACCGCCCATGGGTTGGACATGGGGTGCGCAGCGTGTCCAACCCATGGGCGGGAGCGAGATTATGCGATTCGCTTTGGAGACGCAGCCCCCGCTTGCCCGACGCATGGGCGGGAGAGAGATGATGTGATTCGTTTGGACACTTGGGTGCGGGCTAGTCGCGGGGCCCCGCCCATGGGTTGGACATAGGGCGCGCCAGGTGTCCAACCCATGGGCGGGAGAGAGATAATGTGGTGTTCCATCCATTCATTCATTCACCCATCCATCCATTCATTCATTCAATGGCCTCAGACTCCATTCTTTCCTTTGCTCAATCTCTGACCGCCGCGGCTCGCGTCACATGTGGGTGGAGAGAGAGAGAGAGAGAGCGAGTGATGTTCCTCCCCCCCCCCCGCTCTTCCACTTCCTCAAGATGGCTGGTCCTCAGCCTGCGACATTACTCATTAGCCTTCCTCATTGCCATCCCTGCAGTAAGAAACAACGACAATGATGCAATAGCAATGGGTACAACAGGAGCAACAACAGAACGCCCCACAACCGATGATGATGATGATGCTGTAGATGATGGTATAGATGGCGGCGTCGATGCTGGAGCAGACGTTGACGAACGTGCTGATGTCCGACGCATGGGGGGTCTTATTGAACTCGACGTGAAGAGATAGAGAGAGAGAGAGAGAGAGAAACAACAATAAAGAGACAGAGAGAGGGACAAAGAGAGATACAGAGAGAGAGAGAGAGAACGAACGAACACCCAGTAACATGATAAGAACAAGAAAAGTGGCAAACAATAGCACTAAGAGGGAACAACAACGAACAAAACAGCCGCGGCGCGAGAAAACAGCGTACGTCACATAGTCTTAAAAGTCACCCCCACCCCCCACCCCCCCGCCCCCCAAGGCCCCCGAATGCCGCGCACCAAAGGTCACGGCTGCCTTGGAGCACTCTGGCATCTAGCCTCTAGCCGACTTCCGATGCGATCCTGATCGCACTGGGCTCGGCGTCCCCCCTCATACTTATACTATGTGCGTGCGTGTGTGCGTCTCCCCCCCAGGGGAGACGCGCGCGCCGAGAAGTCTTCTAGTATGTATATGCGTCGTGGCGCGCGCTTTCTAGCCACACCGCTCGGGGAATAAGATTCTACAAGACGGGTATGCTATGCGTTCGGGTCGGACGCGCGCCTCCGAGGAGGACACACGGTACCAGTATGTCTATGTGCGTCCCATGGGCTCCTCCCTGCCCCCCCCCCCCGCCCGCAGCGCGATGCTGGAGTCGGCCACGTGGCGCCTGCGGCGGCAGCAGTCCGGGCGCACGCCGCTGCACGACGCGGCGGAGCGGGGCGACGCGTCGGCGTGCGGCGAGCTGCTCGCGGACCCGAGGCGCCTCGCCTCCGTCGGGGGCAGCGTCAAGGTGAGGAGGAGGAGGAGGAGCAGCAGAATGAGGAGGAGGGGGAGGAGGAGGAGGAGGGGAGGAGGAGAGGAGGCGGAGGCGGAGGAGGGAGGGGAGGAGGAGGGGAGGAGGGAGGGGAGGAGGAGGAGGAGGTAGGAGGAGGAGGAAGGAGGAGGCGCGGAGGCGGAGGCCGGCGGCGGAGGAGGAGGAGGAGAGGAGGAGGAGGAGGAGGAGGAGGAGGAGGCGGAGGAGATGAGGAGGAGGAGGAGGCGGAGGAGGAGGAGGAGGGAGGAGGAGGAGGCAGGAGGAGGAGGAGGGGGGGGAGGAGGAGGAGGAGGAGGGAGGAGGTGGAGGAGGAGGGAGGGGGAGGAGGAGGAGGAGGGGAGGAGGAGGAGGAGGAGGAGGGAGGAGGCGGAGGAGGATGAGGAGGAGGAGGAGGAAGGGCAGCCATACATTTGAGGAGGAGGGGGAGGAGGAGGGCGAAGGGAGGATAGGATGAGGAGGCGGAGGAGGGCGGAGGAGGGGCGGAGGAGGGGAGGTGGCGGAGGAGGAGGAGAGGAGGAGGAGGAGGAGGAGGAGGAGAGGAGGAGGAGGGGAGGAGGAGAAGGAGGAGGAGGAGGAGGGGGAGAGGGGAGGAGGAGGAGGAGGAGGGGTGGAGGAGGCGGAGGAGGTGGAGGGAGGAGGAGGAGGAGGAGGAGAGGAGGGGAGGAGGAGGAGGAGGAGGAGGAGGAGGAGAGGAGGAAGGAGGAGGGGAAGGGGAGCGGGAGGAGGGAGGAGGGAGGAGGGAGGAGGGAGGGGAGGGGGAGGAGGGGTAGGAGGGAGGAGGAGGAGGAGGAGGGAGGAGGGGGAGGGAGGATGGGATGAGGGAGGCGGGAGGCGGGAGGATGGGGGCGGGAGGAGGAGGAGGGAGGAGGGAGAGGGTAGGAGGGAGGAGGGAGGAGGAGGAGGGAGGAGGGAGGAGGGAGGAGGGAGGAGGAGGAGGAGGAGGAGAGAGGAGGAGGGGGAGGGAGGAGAAGGAGGAGGAGGAGGGGGAGGGAGGGCAGGAGGAAGAGGAGGAGAAGGAAGAAGAGGAGAAGGAGGAGGAGGAGAGGAGGAGAAGGAGGACTGCCAATATGGACTGCCAAGGTGTGGGAAGGCCCCTCGGGGCTTGACCGCCCCGCCCCGAGCGCCGCCACCCCGGAGGGCCTATGGGCCAGCGCGGCGGGGGCAGCGGGCTTGGGCCCTCCGGGGATGCGCCTGTTGCAGGTCCGGGCCACCGGGCCCCCCAGTCACCCCGGAGGGCCTGGGCGGGCCGGGCAGGCGCGGCGTGCGTTGCGCTCCCTTCGGGGCCGGCCCTAACGCCGGGCGAGCCTCGCAGCCTCCCCGCCGCCCGGGGGCCGATCCCCCCGCAGGTGGGACAGGGCGCCGGGTGGTCGGGCGGGCTTTGCAGGCTCGCTCAGCGCGAATGCGAGGGAGGGCGGGGAGGGTGAGAGCAGGAGGAGGAGGAGGAGGAGGAGGAGGAGGAGGAGGAGGGGGAGGGGGAGGGGGAGGGGGAGGAGGAGGGCAGCAGCCGCGGCAGGTCGGGGGAAGGCAGGCATCTTTACCTGCGCGCGGCATGCACCAGCGCCGCGCAGGAGAGCCCCAGGTAGCGGACCTTCGCCGCGAGCTCCCCGAGGTCGTCGGTGTCGGCGAGCACCCACTCCGCCAGCCCCGGCGGCGGCGCCCATACCTCCAGCAAGGCGGCACGGAGCGCATCAGAACCCGAGCACCGGACCAGCAGGTGGTGCAGCCCAGCCGGCTCTCGGCCGCACAAGGCACAGGTGGTCGGCAGGCGGGCCGCCCCCACGCCCCAGATGGCAGTTGGCAGCTCGGACGTGACACGCGCCACGCACCAGGCGCGGTGGAACCTCCATTGGGTCTGGCCCCAGGAGGCCCAACGGAGCTCCTCCGGCCAGGCCTGCCGCAGGGGAAGGACAGCCGCGATCGGCAGCAGCCCCGTGTCGTTGAGCTTGGCCAGCTGCTCGCAAAACCACACCCTTTCCGCTTCCCGCACCCGCGGGATAACGCAGGACCGCGCCCATAGCCGCACCACCCTGCGGCGGGCCGCCGGTCCCTCCGCCGCCGCGGTTTTCAGCTCGTCGGGCGGCGGCCCCACCCCGAGGCTCCGAGCCACCGCGGCTGCGTCCTGGAGCCAAGTGCCTCTGCCGCTTGCCAGCGCCGCCTGGACCGCGGGCGCGACGGGCGAGCCTTCGGGGAGCACCAGCAGCCGAGCGCACGCCAGAATGATGCGCTGGGCGACTTTGGCGGCCACGCGCGTCAACAGTCGCGTCTCCAGGAAGACGCGGAGGTAGCCCCCATCGCCAAAGGACGTGCCCGGAGGGAGCCCCAAGAGCGCCTTCGCCGCGTCGTAGTATGCGCGGTTTAGCTGGGCCGCGACGGCGGCCCAGCCACGCGCATGGCTCGCCAGCAGCTCCGTGCCATACAGCGCGGCGGACTCGACGCGGCTCGGGACCTGACCAACGATCATGGGGAGGCCGAACCCCTGGTCCGAGAGAGCGGCCGTCAGTCGTCGCGCGCCGTCCCGGAGGATTGCGCAGGTGCGTGTCAGGAGCGGATCCAAGGAGAGCTCCGCGTCCACCGGGATGCCCAGGACCTCGAGCTGACTGACAGCGCGGACCCCGACGGCCCCGATGGTGCCGCACCTGCTGGGGTCTACGGCCGGCCAGCCCACCGCCATTGCAGCGGGGCCCTTGCTGCCGTCCTGGTAGCGATGTCGATAGGCGGCACAGAAAGCGCCCAAGCCAGCGTTGGCCCGCATCACCCCCGTCTCGTCTGGCTGCAACACGAACGTGTCGTCGACGAACTGCAGCATCGGCAGGGAGGGGGGAGGGGCGCTCGCCGGGGCGCTCTCCGCGAGTGGGAGCGGCTGGGCGGCGACCTTGCAGGCGTCAATGAGAGCGCGGACAAGCGCGCTGAACATGTGGACGCCCCCGCGCCTGCCTTGCCCCACCCCGAAGTCAAGGAGCGTGGCGATCTGACCCACGAGGGGCCCAACGCGCACCCGCACGCGCTCCTCGCTGAGGGATGCCGCCGCCGCGAGCCACCACCGCCCGCGCAGTCCAGCTCGGCGCAGCTGCAGCAGCACGCCGTCGCGCCAGGCCATGTCGAACCCATGCAGCAGGTCCGCTTTCTGGACCACCGTGCGGAGCCCCAGCCCGCGCCGCACCTGGAACGCGACGAGCAGCCCAGCCGCCATGAGCGTCGCATCATAGCGCCCCCCTGCCTGCTCAGAGCCGGCGAACTGCTCCAGCAGCGGGCGGGTGACGGCCAACCAAACAGCATCCAGAAACCCTTCAAGGTCCCCAACGTAGCTGATGGGCCGGAGGACGGCAGGGTCGCTTACCACCGGGGGCCCCCTCTTGCGAATCGGGGATATCTCCCGCATCCACTCACTTGCGCAGAGGCCAGAAACCAGCGCCAAGTTGAGAACGGCCCACGTCACCAGGCGGCCCGGCGCCTGCGCTGCCTTTGCCGCGGCGCGCGGCAAGTGGAGCGTTTTGCGAGAGGCGCGAGCCTGCTGGACGATCTCCGCCACCAGCTCCGGCGACAAGGGGTCGCCGAGTTCCTCCGCCGTCTCGCGGAGCGCTGCAGTCTGGGCTGCCCGGACCTCCGCGCGGACCTGCGCGTTGAAGGACGCCACGCCCGGGCCCGCCGCCGCGCCCCGGCCAAGGATGGACGCAGTCACTACCTCGATCGCCTCAGCGGGGCCGAGCCGCCTGCCCGAATCTGGGTCCCAGAGGGCCAACTGCAGCGGCTCGCGCGGCTTGAGGAGTCCGCTCACGTAGTTCTCCGCCTCGCCGCGGGAGGTCGCCGCGAGCTCCAGATATCGGTCCAGAGCCCGAGCCCGGTGCTCGGCCCGCGTGCCGGCGAGTTCATCCTCTAAGGCCAGTTGGTCCGCGTCAGGCGCGGCGATCCCTGCAGGTTGCAACGCCTCCTCTGCAAGTGCTGCCTTTTCCTCCCCGGCACGCCTGCCCGGGCAGGCCGCTCGCACGTGGGGTGGGCGTCTTGCCACGAGCACGAGGCCTCCGAAATGGCCTGCCAAGGTGTACACCACCGAGCGGTACCACACAGCGCGGTCCAAGAGTCCTTGTCGTACACCTCGTTTTGCCCCGCGGGCCGTCCACTCCCTGAACTCCCTGCTCCTCATCACGGCACCAGCCCAGCCTCCAATGAAGCTGAGCGCCGTCGCCACGTGACCAAGCGCAGCGTCCCACTCGTCCCCATGCCCCCACCTACTGCGGCCGAGCGTCATCTCAACGTTCACGGCGAAAGTCGCCGGGAGGGCGACGTCAAGCCTCGCATGGTCGCCCGGGACACCTGCGGACCCGCACGGCACGACCACCACGCTCACGGGGAAATCGGCGGAAGAGGCCACTACGTCGATGATGGTCCCACTCCTGTGCGTCCCCACCTCGACTGGATTTCTGCGTCCCCACTCGAGGAGGGAGGAGGGAGGAGGGAGGAGGGAGGAGGGAGGAGGGAGGAGGGATGAGGGGAGGGAGGGAGGAGGAGGAGGAGGAGGAGGAGGAGGAGGAGGAGGAGGAGGAGGAGGAGGAGGAGGAGGACGTCTCGAGGTTCGAGGCCCGAGGTGTTGCGTCTCGTCGCTCAGGGGCTCGAGGCTTTCGGACGTATCGGGTTCGAGGCTCGTCGGTCTTCCGGCCCCGGGGTTCGCCTCGCCTCGCCGCGAGGGCTAGCTTGGGGGTCCCGAGCGGCCGCCGGAGGCCCGAGCAGTGGCCCGGAGGGCCATGGCAGGCTTAAGTCGGGCCCGTCCCTCTGCAGGAGGCATATCGCAAGGTAGTCAAAGCATAGTCTGGGGGTGATGGTTTGACCACTTCGGGCTATTTTTTTGGTCGTTTTACTATTTTTGATTTTTCGTCCAATGTCCGCCTGTAGAAGGACACGCCCGACCTTAAGGTAGGCTCAGGAGGGGATGCGTCGACCTCCACGAGCC